CTTTCCCTGGAGAAAAATCCTGAATAAATATATATTTAATAGTTTTGTTCTTAAGTAGCAGTACTAAAGTTTTCATTCACTTTTATGGTCATTTTGAATCATGAAAGATTACATTATTAAGGATTCTATACTCTGCTTTTAATGAAGTCCATTGTTATGCTATTTATTAAATTTGGAAATAAAGAAGTTTATCACTAGTAAAAAAATCTAAGATGTTTTATTGCTTTAAAAATAATATACTCTTCTTAGTATAAATGTAATTCTTTGGGGATTAAATTATTACATCGTTGTTTGTCTGAGTTAACTTTTGCCTTTTATAATGCATTTAAAAATAAACTGCTTTATAACAGAGGAATTTTGAAATATAAATGGAATTAAAAGACTGAAGATAAAAACAAGTGTAATTTAAATGTTACTTGTAAGGAAAAATTTATTTAAAACCGTGGTTTACAATAATTGTTGACATATTCCCCTAAGTACTATGTCTGTGATTTTTCATGGTATCAATCATTTAAAGCAATTTAGGTAATAACATTCTGACATACATTTCTGTTATTTTATTTACACCATTTGCCTACATCATTGTAATGCAGTACCTTTCTGATTTGGTACAGTAAATGTACTCTGTAATATCTATTATGGCATGGTCAAAGGATAACTTATTGTCAAATAGAAAAATAGGTCAACAGTAATGTCACTTGATGATCAACCCCCACCAAGTTTAATAAAACATCTCACCAGTATGCATTCCAGTGCAATGGTTGATATTTTATTAGGACTACCTGGCTATAGCAGTAGTGTAATTACTGAGCTGTCAGAGTGATAAGTGGGATTAATGGCAGCCTGATGCACTTTAGGTCTGCAGAGCGCTTAGAGAATTGCAAGATGGTATTATTATCAGAGGCAGCCCATTCTGGCATATTCATGGCACCAAAAAAAAAAAAAAAGAATGCTACAACTCAGGTTTGTGTTGCCCTGCCTCATTAACATCTGACATTTCCAACAGCTGTTATTTGTGAACTAGCTCAATAATAAAAGGAGAATTATTTGGTAAAGAGGCTTAATAATCACAACTAAAAATCCTTACATCGTCAGTGTTAAGTGAATGTGTTTATGTTGAATTTAAGATTTCTCTGGAAGAACAGAAAAATACACTGGGCACTAGTTTGACTCATTCATACCTGCTGACATATAACTTTTTAAAAAATTGTCTTATTATTCAATTTGGGTATTTTTAAAAAAGCAGACAACTTGTATCTTCATTAAGGATAACCTATATACAACCTATATATGTGTGTGTATATATATGTAACCTATATGTATATATACATATATGTGTATATGTTGCTTTATTCCTATTAGGTGACAGATGTTTAAATACTGTTAAAATGACTTTTTTATAAATTAGAAGATATTTAAGATGGCATATTATTTGCTGAATTTTTAGCTATTTTATTTTCCCACAGGTTAGGAAACCCTTTTAAACCATTATTAATGCTCAAAATGTTTATCCGTGTAAAGATAACACACATAAGTATCACTTTATTTTGGCATCAAGAACCAAATAGATAATGTGTTATACTCTTTTTGCATTGTTTTGCAGTGTATGCTGCTGATAATACTTTTAATGAATTATTTTTGAACTTAGAGACAATGTTTTAGGGAAAAAATCATAAGTATGAGAAGGTAGGAATTCAACTAAATGATAGATGTGAATCTAACAATGGCATTTAGAGAAATGATAGGAGAGAGGTTTAATGACTACATTCCAGAGAAGACAATTGCTTTTGAAAAGCCTTTGGTACTCATTGTGTAAAATTTAATTTAGAGAGAAGGCTAAGGGCACAAACCAAAGAAAAGAGATCAGATTTAAAAAACAAGATATTAATTAGGTACTGAGAAACTGGTTCAGATAATGAAGAGGACTCTTCTACTCACAAAAGAATGACAAGGAGAATGGCATTGTTTCCTCGAAGGAAATGAACCACGGTCTTTACACATGGAAGTGGATGGAAAATGAGCTAGCTAGTCACCTTTGTCACTGAGCAATGTAGAATTCATTCTCAGTGAAATTCTAAGAGAGTTCTGGTCTTCCGACAAATATGACAGTGTTATATCTTAAGTTAGTTCACCTACCCTATCATGTCTTTCTCTCCAGACCTTGGCACATAGTGTTTCTATTCTTGGGTTATCGGCTTGAAGGACCCTGAACTCCAAATCCCACACTCATTCTTCAAACTTCCCTTTTAAGCATTACTCCTCCCAAAGATCTTTCCTGACTCTCTCCCTCCTGGACTACTGCTCTTCATATATGTTCCTTTGGCATGCTGTCTCCACCCAAATTTACATTGTCTACTACAAGTGCCTTTCAGATGTCTGTTCTCTAAACTGCATGCTGCACCCACAATGGCAGGACCATGGTGGTCTAGTTCAGTACTTTTATATTCTCATATCCCATGTCCTGCCATGTAACAGGGGGTCAGTAAATATTTAATAAATGAATGAACATACATTCATGTACAAATTAAGGACCATTCTGGCCATTAGCTTCAGTTCTGAATTAGTAATTATGGAATCGTGATTCTTACTATGTGGATCCAACCATGTATATCAAAATCACCTCAAAGGCTTTTTCAAAATGCAGATCCCCAGGCCAGTCAGACTTGCAAGGGATTCCTTTGGGGAAACTGAAACATTTACCAAGCTTTCTAGGTGGTTTGAGCGTACCTCTGGCCAGTTCCACAGGAAGCAGATTCTGAGACGAGATTAGTATGCAGGAAGGTCAGATCAACATCTATATAAGAGTGAAGGAATCTGGATGGGACAGACATAGTCACAATAAAGGCTACAGTGGATCTCCACTGACTCGTTCCACAAATGGGGCAAAGGGACCGAGCCTCTAACTCTTTCATTGACCTGTAATTGGATGTAGAAAGGGAGCATGACCTTGGTTGAACCTGTCCTCTTCAGCTGAGGGCACAGCAGCTGAGGGAATAAATGCTATAGTATGGAAGAGTGTGGATCTGGGCCATGCATTAAAGCATCTACCATGAAGCCCGATTGCCATGGGAACAGTATGTAGGTTAAAAGACATCGGTAAATTGGAGGAGGGAGGGATGATGGGAGCAAAAGAAAGAGGGAAGAAGGAAAGGTGTGAGAAAAAGTGGGAGGGATAAGGGAGGAAGAAAGGACATTACAAGTGGTAAAATGAGAAACTTTACCTTTTTTGCTTGTATAATAATTGTGGCCTACAAAGCATACAAAACTTTTATCATGAAAGACTGCATTCTCTAAGTGTTATCAGGGTAGCGAGAGATCGAAACAAATTGATTTAGTAAATGAGTGAATAACGTGTCTTAGGTGTGATCCTCGTAAACTCTAGGAGGAACACCGAGAGGAAAGGCAGTTATTAGCCTTGAGGGGTGCTATTTTATACATCTCTGAAGGTGTGCAAAAGGTGAAACAATATGTTTACTTTATTGCTTAAAAAATTTTGTACCTAAAAATAGTACAATTTTATTTGTTCTTACTAGACACTAATCTAAATGTGTATAGGGTAGAAAATATACATTTCATAGTTCCTTTAATCCCGTTATTTCATTTCCTAGATGCCTGAAATGTGCAGATGCTCCCTGTCAGAAGAGCTGTCCAACTAATCTGGATATCAAATCGTTCATCACAAGTATCGCAAACAAGGTAAACTCAGATTTAGCTCTACAAATGAAATTAATAACAGCATTTGATCTTGATCTCTATCATAATGTGATTAAAACATAAATCTCATCTCAGTGAACTGGGTGAAAGTATTTAAAGAAATGATTTCTATAGATAGTTGAAGAAAGTAGCACATTGTATTAATTAGTCTTTTCCAAGTCATGATATGATTATTATGAAAATGAATTTATTGTTTATTGTCTTAATGATTAGTTTATGTTGAAATTAATGATCTTTTAACCCAGGCATTCATTGTCTAGATTGACTCTAGTTTAAGCTTGCTAAATGCTTATAGATAGGAGCTGTCATTGTTTATCAAAACACGTTTCAAATTTGTGAAATATCTTTTTTTAGAATGTGCTTTGGTTTTAAGTCTGGCACACCGAGACACATCAAAGCAAAGGACTTGGACTTGCACTTCTACTAAAATTCAGTTAATTCATTTAAGATTTGTGATAATTCATAGAGACTGATAGAGTTGTAAACAAAAATTCCTGCAAAAACAAAAAATACAAAACAGGCTTTTATGTGCATGAATAGAACAAAAATAATTTTGATCTTTAGTTTTTTTTTAATTAGCATAAGGCTAAACCTAGTTTTTATTCACTAAGTGAACAGTTGATTGATTGAATGATTAATAGTATCTTTGTGAAAGGAGCATTGTGAGCTCCTGGCCAAGTGTCTTATCTTTTAACAATTGAGCAAAAGCTGAAGGAAGTCTTCTCATAAAGATGTAGCGAATCCTTTTTATAAGGTTTAACATTTATGTTCTAAGCTACAAAAATCTAATGTGCTTTGTACAACCAGGTATCTATTTATATATGAAGATCATTACTCAATATGTCAATTATTTAAAACTATTTTATGAGAAAAGTCATAAATTTATATAGCTTTAGCTTTTCAAAAGAATCAACGGTTATTACTTAGGTAAAGGGCATTATATTAACCTACATGGTCAGATTAAATAGGATTTGAAGTCTAGGTTGAATTTTTAGATTGACCACTTATTGTGAATCCAGGGAAAATTACTTATCTCTTTATTTTCATTTGCAAAAGAAAGAGAGCATCTGTCTTACGTGGTTGCGGTATAAACTGAATAATACTTGTATGTGAAAATCCCTAACTTAGTAATTATTCAACAAATATTTTGTTGATGTGGAATTATTAAATTCCCTACTCATTCACTATATAGATACCATACAAGTGATTATTATTTTTGTAGTTGTTATTTATTGAACACCTACTATCTACCAAACACAACTGCCTTTAGAAGTTCATAATTATGAGCAATTACAGATATATTACAAAATAAATAAGAGAGCTACAACTCAGGGAGAGTATTAAGCATATAAAAAGGCAGGAATATGGATATATAGATGGCAGGTTTCAGGAAATGTAATATATTCATTGTGGCTAGCACGGATCCTAGATTATATGAAAAGAAATGATGGGAAAGAAACAAGGCAATTAGATTAGGATTAGGTTGTGAAAATCTTTGAATTCTATGCTCAATAATTGAGACTTAATCCTACAGATAGTAGAAAATAATCAATGCTATATATTTATTTTTGTAACTAATAAGATGAATTCTGGGAAGGGCTCTCATTTATGAACTTTGGAGTATCCCAAACAGCCATCATCACAGGATCTTTCTCTTATATGTAAAAATAAATAATTTATATGGAACATATATATGAAATCTTATTTGTTTAAGCTTGATCTCATAAGAATAGGAGTAAAACAAAATGTCTAAAGTTTGAAGTCTAAAATATTTTGGCTGTAATTATACCCAAGGAGGCACTCTTGACTGTAAGCATGATCCAGCTAGCTAAATTTTCCCTAGACATTCCAAAATTCAATAAGACTTTGTGATTCTAATTAATGTATATCACCTTCATTCAAATTATTTTTAAAAAGACAGAAGGGAATAAACGTTTATAAAATGTGTAAGCAAGATCAGAATTGTGTTTATTTTAGGGAAATTTTTTGTTTTATTAATTCGTCCATACTTTTTACTACCTAATGAAGCATTGCACTTAGGTGTTGATTTAAACAGATTTCTATATGAAGAGAAGATATTTGGAGACATTTAATTGAAAATTAAATCTTTTGCCAGGCATTTAAGGAGCTCTATTGTAAGTACTGTTTTATTGAAGAATCACTGTAGCAATCATAAAAGGTCAGAGACTCTTGTTTTTCAAAGCCTGCAGCTTTTTAGATATTTACCAGCTGTGTACAATGCAGGCCGTCCCACATTGCTCTGCCAGTGGACCTCCGCTCAGGAGGAGGGTTCTTTCCAGGTTGAGAGGGTAATTGAATCGCCAGACTCAATGAGCCTTACGCCTCTTTGAGAAAAGGATGTCACTTGTGTTGTATTGTGTTAGGTTTCTGTGATTCAGTGGAGTTTAGGCCAATACTTCCATTCTTTATTTTCTTACAAACTGGATTACAGCTATAGTTTCCAAAGGTACACTCAATTCTATTGTACCTCCTCAGTTAGTTTTTCTCTGTTTCATTCTTGCAGGCTGTTGTTTGCAATTGTATCTCTCAATTGGAAGTACACGTTTCAGATCCGTCAAACTGTGAATACCGGGTTATATTTCTTGATAGTTTTCTTTTGGGAAAAAAAAACAACAGTACTTTATATAAGAATGCATGCGGTCAATCTATAAATGTAGTAAAAAAATGACTTTTTAAAAATGTTCCTTTGTTTGCTTTATTTGCTTTATTTTAAGCAAGAGATATTTCTCCTTTTAAAATTTTGTATTAAATTGCAAAGCATTAATTTCTCATTTGCATATTTTATGGAATCTGTGTGGTCAGATTCATGGGGCTTTTATATCTAGATACATAAATTTAATAATACACGTTAGAGAAAAACTGACCGAATGACTCATTGTAAAATGAAAGGCTCTTTATCATAGGTCCCTATTGAAAGTAACATGAAGTCAGAGGAACAACAAGATTTAACCAGCAGAATGTATTGATAAATACTATTGACAACAATATATATATTTTTAAAAAGATCTGTCAGTATATGTGTACACACATACTTGCACACACACATCCATGCCACATGATGTGCGTATCATGAAGCAGAAGTGCAGTCAGCAGATTTAGTCCATCCTCCTTTTGGGTTTGTTTTTCAAATTCAATAGCTAAGTGGTTTAGACCCTTATCAAATAAAACATTGATCATTTCCAGAATAATTTTCTAAAAGCGTAGCTCTAATTATATTACTTTCTTGTTCAAAAAACATCAGTGGCTCCCCAGTACCTAGAAACTAATGTCCAAATTTATAAGCTATTATGTAAGCCTACTGGGCTTTCTCCCAATATTATGACAGGAGTAAGTAGATGAAAAAAATATATATTAGGAAGTTCACAGTTTATAAGCCAATATTTTAAAAAATATGAATATTTTAGATATATGAAACAAAAAAATAGTGATAAGATTTCATGGTTCCTTCACTACACATGATTAGCTCCTTCACTTTTAGTGCTAGATAATAAGTATGAGCACCTGTATCCATTCCAAGAGGACTCACAGAAACTTACCTACTTGCCATAAGATGGTACTTAAGAGAACACAACTTTTAAAAACTCTCTCTGCTATGCTTCTAGAGAGTAAATAAGCCATTATCCTGCAGAGCTGAAAATGCCATTTAGTTTAAAGAAATACTTCTGAATACATATGTCAATTTCCTTTACACTTGAGACACTGGGATTTGAGAAATGCGAAAAAATGTACTTTTTTTTCTAGGACTGAGTGTATTCTAAATTTTACAACTCCTGTATATTATGGGTCTGTGTCATTTGGGGTGTTAATCTGAGTGGGTCTTGTGGCATGGAGTAAGGTACTGTCATTCTAAGTAGCTCCTCTTGATCTCATAAGATAATGTTTTTCGTATGTTAATTCTGTCTTTTAAAACTTGATGAGTAGTGTTCTTAATACTTTATTAATCAATATTGGATAGTTTTATTCACATGTTTGCCGATTTATTTATTTATTTATATAGTTTTTCTTTTCCTTATTTTTTTTCTCATGTTGGAATTTCCATGAGAAACAGTTTACTTTTGTTTTAAGTGAATCCTTAAAATTCAGTGAATCCTTAAAATTCTTTCATTCAGTAAGAATACATTGCTGGCAACTCTCTCAGTTTTTGTTTCTGATACTTTTTACATTTCTTCACTTTTGAAAAATACTTTCATAATGTATAGAATTTAGGGTTGGCATGTATCATTTTTTTTCACCTAACAGAAGATATCATTTTTTTACCTAACAGAAGATATCATTTGTCATGCTTTGATGCTATTGGAAAATCAACAAAAGCCTAATTATTGCTCATTTGAGAATAATATGTTTTCAGAGGGGGGCATTTTAAAGATCTTTTTATCTTTAGTGTTCAACAATTTTACAATGATTTATCTAAGCTGGAGTCATTTTTATATATCCTGCTTGGTTCGCATTGAAATTCTTAAATCTGTGGATAGATGTCTTTCATCATTTTTAGAAATTTCTCTATTTCTCATCTCTTTCTGGAACTCTTATTAGCTATCTATTTAACATTCATACTTTATTCTCTATGACTCATAACTTTCAAACTTTTTTCTCTTTGATTTTTGGAATTACTCCCTAGATAATTTACTTCAATTCTATTTTCAGGTTTACTAATACCTTCTTTATAGTCAAATATGTTGTTAAAATGGTCTACTGAATTTTGAGCTACAACTTTAATTTTCATATCTAGTAGGTCTCTCTCTCTCTCGATCTCTCTCTCTTTCTTTTGTAAAACTCTAGTAGCTTAAACTCACTTTCTAAGCCTATCTGTCATTTCTTAAAATATATAAAAATACTTATTTTTATACTCAGAATTCTACTATCCATAGTTTCTGTGAGTCTGATTGTACCATCTGTGATGTCTACTGTCTCCACTTTTATGCTGTTTCCTGTAAGTTTAAATTTTTTTTTTTTCCTCTGAC